CTGTCTGTTTTTTCATAATTGTAATATCACACCAGTCTACCTTCATTCAGCAACATCTTTAATATGTTTGATTTATTTCACCTTGGCTTTGAATATTGTGCTAATGGAGATAAATGAATAATTTATCCAGGAGTTTCTGCGTGCTGTGATGAATATTTGCAGATTTGCTCGTGATCTTAAAGATCAAGATATTTCTTTCTTGCTCTTGTTTTTTCTCTTGTCTTTTCTCTTTGCAGGTGGCATGCTTTGGACCAAACATCTACTCTGCCTTCCTGAAGGCCATGCTCTCTACAGGATTCAAGCTTCCCCAGAAGGGGATTCTCATTGGGATTCAAGTGAGGGAGAAACTTTTTTTTTTTTTCTTTCCTTAAGGGTTGAATCTCAGAGGACTGTCTGCATCACATCCTCTCAGATTTACTCAGTAGAACATGAACATTTCTGGCTTGTTTTGATTAGGAGCAGGTTGTTTTTTGCAAGTCGTTATTTCCTCATAAAATGATAAACGCTATAATATGAGGTTTTCAAGTAGGAAATCAATTCCTGAATATATTTAGTGCACATTTATGAGCGTAAGAATTGACATGTAAAAATTCTGCTAGTTTCTCACCCTTGCGTTGTTAAAAACTGTGAAAGGTCTGGCTGCTCTTTTCTATACAATGAAAGTGAATGGCAACCAGGTTTGTCAAGCTACAAAAATTACAAATAGCTCCATAATAGTATTATGAAAATGGTCAATATTACTTGTGCACTGTATTCTAAGTCTTCTGAACAGACTGAAAGTTAGGATGTTTCTTCCTGAAAATCTTGCCCTCCACCATAGCTTACAAATATTATTTTGCATTCATGTACAATTAAGGCAAATTTATAATATAATATAATATAATACAAAGCAGTTTGATTAAACTCAGAAACCTTTTTTTGTATGAACTGACATTTTGAGATCGACATTTAAACGGCACAATTACTGCCATTAAATAATTGACAGTATCTTAAATAATTGCACTTGGATCAAACAACCACAATCAGACAATTATTCAGTCGTGACAGGCCATTCATCTGAATGTATATTATGCATATATTCAGTGCACTACTTGGAACTGATTGATCTAAATTTTCCTCATCAAATGTGAAGCCACATATCTCACAAATGGATTATTATCCATAAAAAAACTACTAAAATAAGAAAGCAGCTGCGTTTTTGCATGTTAATCTCCCTAAAGCTGCACATAAACGTATAACCATCCCGAAGGTGTGAATACTGTGACACATATTCACTGGAAAAAGTTACTCCATGAAATGCGACAACCTTGTGATGCAGGCACGAGCTGTATAAAACAGGCTTTATAAAGAAATTCTTAAATGCTTAAAATAAAATGCACTTTCTGATCTGTTTCCTCAAATGTTTTTTTATGGGCAAAATGATTTTATTGTGCATCTTCCTTTGGTGTAACTGTGATGTTCACACATTTTTTTAAGCCTTTACTATAACACTGGAATTCAGAGGCTTTGTTTTATGTTTTGATGTAATATCATCATCATCGGCATGCCCTCTTTCATTTCCTCCTGTGCTCTCTCAGATGTTTACGATTCATGCCCACTCTCAGCGTGGAAATCAAATATCTTGTCAGGGTCATTGACGATGCTCAGACAGCACTGTGTTCTAATGGAGTCTCGGGTATGAATGAGAGCATGAAATTCCCATTTGAAACAAACCCCCGGTTCTGTAGATGCTACCTGCCTGATGGCCATACCTGGGGACTGCAGATCTGACATGCTTTTTAAAGCCTGATTACCAGCCCGTGGTTAAGTCTCCGTGAACACAGAGCTGCGCTATTGATCTGGAAGTGCTTCGAGGAAGACTTTTCTTCTAGAAATAGTCTCCTGCTCTGCACCCATCCACACAGACTGCCTGACCTTTTGGCTTTGAAGTTTTTTTTCTGTCCGGCTATCTTTTTCTTTCTGCTTTCTCAGTTGTTATTTTACGTTTTTGTCTCCAGCATTCATTCAGGCCTAACTTCATTTCCACTGCTCATCAGCTTCATGAGGAGGGCTTTAAGGTGAGTTATTTCCATCCACTTCATTGGGTTTGAGTTAGAGTTGAATTAAATAATGGAGCAACAAAACAGCTGCGGACACTCTGATTACATCTTGCATTGATAAAAAAAAAAAAATGCTTCTGTATTTGTCTTTAGCTCTTTGCCACAGAGGGTACATCAGCTTGGCTCAATGCTAATGATGTTCCAACAATCCCAGTTGCTTGGCTGAGCCATGAAACCAAAAATACAACCTTACCCAGCATAAGCAGGTGAGTACTTTTACTTTTTTTCCATTTTATTTTTATTACGGCTCTCAATTGCTATACATATTCAAATAAAATATTTAAAAATGTTTATTAAAAGTGATATATAAATAATGTATTATTATCATAAATTGCAAATAAAAATTAAAATGGCTAATTAATAAATACATATTTATTCCCATTTTATGTTCATAAACATTTTAGAAAACTAAATATTAGGCTCTCAAACTTTCTGTAACTAATAGTTTTGGCAATTTGTGATGACACTCATTGTGCAAAAAATGAGGTTGGTAGGGTTTTTTTTTTTTCCCCCAAGAAGTCTCTCCAAAGCTGTATTTATTTGATCAAAAATATTGGGAAATATTATTACTATTTGAAATAACTGTTTTATACCTTATTTTTAAATGTAATTTATTCCTGTGATGACAAACCTGAAAGCTTTCAGCAGTTGTTACTTCAGTCTTCAGTGTCGCATGATCCTTCGGAATATGTTAATATATACATTCTAATATGCTGATTTGGTGCTCAAGAAACATTTCTTATTTTAAATGTTGAAAACGTGGCATGCTTAATATTTTGTGGAGACAGTGATACACTTTAGATGAATCTAAAGTTCAAAAGAACAGCATTTATTTGAAATAGAAACATTATAAATGTCCTTGTCACTTTTTAAAATATTTTAATGTGTCCTTAAATTAAAGTGTTAAACTTTTTTTATGATCCCAAACATTTGTGTAGCATTCATTCAAATCCGTTTATAGCACTGTCATGCTAATGAAAATTTAGTAGCATCACTACTGTTATAGTAGTACTGCATAGGACCACATATTAGTATTACATATTACTACCGCTGCATGCTGTATTACATAGTACTGCTTTCATGCCCTGATTGTTGGCTTTGTTTACCGGAAACATTTAGCTGTGACAGTCACAGATCGGCTGTCGTGAGACCCTAGAAGTTAAGTCTGTCAACAGAGGATCCAGTCACCTTTGAGGCATTCAGGCGTCTTTGTGTCACTTATGTTAGCATTCTGCTCTGGTGCACGGCTCTGTCGTAGCAAAATGCCTTCACTGAAAGTGTATTCTAGACACTGCATGCTGAGATACTTCAAGTATGTCTGCCATCTACCCTCAAGGGTTGCAGTCTTATTACACTGTTTTGTTGTAATAAGATATGTTTACTAAAGATGGATCACAGATTTAGCTGATCACATTTATAACTAATCAGAGGGCACTTTTAACAACTTCACATACATTATTAAGACTTGGGTTCACAGTTTAAGGTTTGGTGTCTGGTTTGAATTTGAGTAGATGATGATTAACATTTTTGATACTTGTATACAGGCGTATACCCTAAATATAGCACTTTTGAAATATGTTTAAAATCATGTGCACCCACATGAAAATCAACTTGTAGTAGCCTAATAAAATCTGGTTTATTTTTGTATTGTATTTTGTATAAGTGTACTATTTGAAATCTCTAACTTTTTATGGATTACTCCATTTTCTGGTTTCTAAATAGACTTATCAGTGAAGGACACATTGACCTTGTGGTCAACTTACCTAATAACAACACAAAGTTTCTTAAGGACAACTTCCAGATCCGCAGAATGGCGGTGGATTACGGAGTACCACTTATAACAAACTTCCAGGTCAGCCTTCTCTTTTAAATGTATCATAATTCAGTTTTGTTCTATAGTATTAAACACCTGTTTTCCTTTTCTGCAGGTTGTAAAGCTGTTTGCAGAAGCTATCAGGTATTCCAGCGATTTAGACGCCACCAGCCTGTTCCACTACCGCCAACGTGAGCCCAGACTGTCGGAGAGCTCTGCTGCATGGTTAACTTGTAACCTCTAAAACAGGGGACTCTGCTCAAAAATTAGCCAGGTGGTGTTATCTATCGTGGGCCAACTGAACAGTTACAATCGGTTTTACAATCATAAATTGAACTAGACAGGGCTCAACAGTAAAGGCCCATTCACACCAAGAAAGATAACTATAACGATGATTAGGCCTATATTAGCTTCCATAACCATCACACAATAACATTCTGTTCATTATAAGCACATGCTGCAGTTTTGTCATCTGCCACTGTAATTGCTCAAGCTCTTCAAAGCAGGATGATTCTGATTGGCTGTCAATGTTTTTAGTTCATCTATAAAAAAAATTGTGAAAATGATTCAAAAGTTATTCCTGTGTACTGTTATAGTTTATATAATATTTATACAATTTATAAAATTATAAACTGTATTGTATTAAAGGGGTCATATGATGCAATTTCAAAGTGTAATATAAATTAATTTCTTTACAAATAATAATTGGACTAAAACTACATTTATATCAACTACTGTAAACAATACTGATCTATCTTTATTGTTGAGCCCTGCTACAGTTATCGGCACAATTACAGGTATTTATAAATGTGTGTCCGTATCTCTTGAACTGTGAATATTCAAGGTCTACATTTATTGGTTAAAAAAAAAGTAAGAGACCAAGACAAGCCAGCTATCATTAACCATAACAATACTACTTGAATCCAAAATGTATTAGGCTGAATGTGGCATGAGTGTGTGAGGCGGTGTTGAGCTTTCTGGCTGTTTTCAACACTCAGCACTGTCTGTTCAATGTACCAAAGAGCGAGAAACTGCTGCTCTCAGCACACAATAGCAGATATGCGTGTGATTACACAAAAATATAATGATTTCTATGAATGTGTCCATGTTTGGGCCTCTTGCCAGAGTGAGATTGGAGGATATGTCTTGACTTTCCTCAATAAATATTAACAAACATCACAGAAAGTTATTTTACACTAGAGCAGATCTTCAAGAACAGGTCATTTATAATTAACATGTTTAGTGAGATGGTGTATCTAATAAAAGACCCAAAATATTTATGCACCATTTCATAGCCTTTTATTTCGTGCTTTAATTTGAAATGTTTCATCTTACTGGAAAATCACAAATGGAAAATATTGGTCTAATGGATTTAAAAGTAGTACATTTATAGCAGCTTCTTAATTGGTGCAATGTTATTTATCCATTTATTCTGTCATTCATGAGTGAAACATTTGAAGCTTCTTGGAAGATTCCTCCTTCAGCTTTATTAGCCTGCCAGTAATAGAAATATCAAGCACTTGGCCACCTATTAGCATTACTCTGCACACACATTGTTTATCACTTAAACATCACTTAAACTCTGCGCTAATTGGAAAAAGCTAATATTATGGCCAAACAGCCCACTAGAGTGTTGCACATTATCTAGTGGTCTAGATATTGATGCCATAATTAAATCCCAACACATCTGTGTTTGTGTGGGAGCTAAGTAGGCTACATGTCTCAGCTCATAACGAAAAGAGATTGCGGAAAGGGAGAAACTAAACCGAAATGGGGGAAAAACAGCAGTAGGGTATAAGTCCTTTTTATACTGTAGACAAACAAAGTAGAGTGATATATATATATATATATATATATATTTAGAATTTTAGCACACCTACAGCAACTGAAGTTAATTCTCCAAAGAATCAAATGATCCAAATTTGCCTAAAGTGCTCTGTTTACCTTGTAAAGAGTTTGAAGGGGTCTTGCAGTGTTCTTTAAGCAAATGGAGGTTAATTTGCTTTAGTCAGGGACTCTGATTAAGTTCTTTACAGATGGCAGGACTGCAAAGATAGCATCCTTTTTCACAGACCTGTCTACATCCATTAAGACTAAAGGACGGGTCAACACGTCTTGTCGTTGGAGCCCGTGAGGAATAGTCTACAGCCTCGAAAACAAGTTCAACTCAAAACTATCTCAGCCTGCACCTATTAGGCCTATCCAATTTCAATACATCCTAGAGAAAACTCCCGGCGTTAGCCAGAATTTGTCTATAAAAAGAGCCCACGAGAGGATAATAATATAATAAGTGTCTCTCACTTGGCCAGACTCAGGGCGAAGCTATTACTTTTATTAGTTTAAAAATATGCTATAGAATAGTCCAGCTGAGTAAGACTACCCTAAATAGTGTGTACTTGTTTTTCTGGTGAATAAGGAGAACCGAACAGGCTATATGTATGACAAATAAAGATGTGTTTTTGCCCGCATAAATGTTATATCGCCTCTGGCTGTTGTTCAGAAGCTAAACTGTTGCAGAATGGGCGTATAGAGTAATGACTTGTGGACCCTGAGGGACACTTGGTACATCGTTGCTGACACCAGTGTCAAAATGGATCCTTAACCCTCTTCATATTATTACCACTCAAAAATGAAAAGCGATAGAGGGAGAACAGAGGCGAGAAAAGCTGCCGAACATAATTACCACGTCACATTATGGCGCGCGTGATATTTTCCCCGCCATGCGAAACCTCTCAGAGGATTCAGACGTGCCTTGATATTCCGTTTGCGGTAAGAACTTTTAATTATACATGAATGAGTTTTAGTGCTGCCTCCCGGTGAGGACCTCCGAGATTAGAACACTGTATGCCGAGCTTCCAGGGGTCATGATTAGCTAGTCACACAAGGCTGAACGCGTGATTGAATTTAGCTGGGAAAATTAAATGTTGAAATTTGATAGGGTAGAGATTACTGTATAAGAAACTTAAATAAGGCCATCAGGAGAGCAGTGCACTTTTAAAGGAATGGAATCAAAGTTGCTTCTAACCCTCTGAGGGCCGGCGGTGTATTATATTATAAAAAGCAGAGTAACATTGATTAGAATGATATTAGATTGATGTTGATCCCACTGTATCGTGGTACATGTAACCTAAAAGCTCTTTAATGAGATAGAGAGTACATTTCCCCCTATAAGTCTCTTTGGGTTCAGAAGGAACGAAAGACATCATGTAAAGTGTGTATATGGCTATCAGTAGAGCCCCAAGATATTGCTCTGAGATTAATAAGAGACTTGCTCTATATATGTAGGCCTGTGTGTGTGTGTGTGTGTGTGCATGTTATTAAATGTAAAAATTAATTAAGAATCAGTTGCCATGAAATACCATTAATCTGTAAAGTAGGCATTACTAAAATACAATATGTATAAAAGTATAACGTTTACTGTTGAAATTAGTGTGACATCAACTTTTGGTCATACTACACAGTTATAAAATAATTACTATAGGAACTTGGTCCTTGAGGTTAAAGGGGTCTTGCTTTGTAGTCCCTGGGCTTTCTGAAGTTGAATAGCCTGAAATCTTGAGAAGGCTTGAGAAGGTCTGTAGAAAAAAAGAAACCCACATGACTGTAATTGCATCTCTTTTTTTGCCGTTTTTAACCCCCTTTTAGTATGGATGAGTGTAGCTTGTGATGCTATTCTTGCTGCCTCACCGCAGGTGGGAACAAATTGAGCTGAAGCTCATTAAGGAAAGTGTCATGACGGTGGTGTTCTAACCTTCAGCCATCTCCCAAAGGATCTCAGAGGAGGCCGGGCAGCTGCAGTTGTCTCTGTCCCTGCGCTGATCGAGTGTGCAGACGTAGCCATACTGAATAATGCACGGCACCTGCCTAGGTTGAAGGAAGCCTGCTGTGTGCTCAAGAAAGAAAAAAACGGCCCGCTAATTGACATTGGTTTCTCATGCTGTGCTAATGAATTATCCATGGGGCAGGGATGAGGCACGGTGCGTGCTGGTATCTTCAAGAGAGGTTAACAGATAAATGATGGGTGTTTTTAAGTGCCATCTGAATTGTTAGGCCATTATGTTCCTGGATCTCGATTAGAAGAGGAGATGTCAGAAAAGGGAGATGTCAAATTTCTTTAGGGAAATTACAGAATGTTTTCCCTGTTCAACACATGACATTACCATTAATGTGTTTGGGCTAAATTTCTAATAATAGGTACTCACTTTTGCCCCATTTTCTACAACTTTTGATGTTTGATTGTATATTCATTCTTCTTTAGAACATTGTGCATGATTATATTATATTACATTATATTTGTCTTGTTTCGGACTTTTAACATAATCTAAAATGTAGAAAAAAAGTAATAATAAAGCACAGGTAGGTGTTTCCAAACTTTTGAATGGTAGAATCTGGTCCAACAGGTGGTCAATAATGGAACAGTGCAAAATGAGAGCAAATTTTGTAAATGTAACATTATTTTTGGTTTACATAGGAGCCACGACCATACTTGGAGCAAAATTGGCCACTGCCATGCAAGCAGTTCCTCTTCTGCATCACATACATCGTGATCTGGCCAGATTTGTATCCAACCGAGCACAGAGGGAAGGGAAATTCCTTTTCCACTCTGCTGCAGATTCCTATCCTGCCATTTTAATAGGACAGCATCTAGCAGTTCCTGTAAAAACACATGGGTACATAGTAAGACATCCTTCAGTAATTATTGAAGATTTTTATTTCATTTGCTGGGTGCAATTAGACCTTTCTAATTTCATAGTATGTGGTATTAGCTCTACAATACTGTACATTCTTCTACACAATGTTAATTGTGAATAATAAAATACATCTAAACATATAATCAGATCAAATTATCAGTTTAGAACCACTGATCTAAAGCGCATGAAAGTATATTCTCACCTGGTATACTGTAGAAATGCAATTTGATGATCAATTTGTTTTTGTGTTGCCATTCAAAGTACCCTATTATGTCAGACAAATAACACTGTTTATAATGTAGCTTCAATATGAGCAATCAGACTAGAACGTGAACGTCAAACACATATTTGATCCTGTGCATTATTACCCACAATAGGTGATGTAGACAAACAAGCAAGAAACAGCTGTATATGAGTATGCTTAAATCACAGCAGAGCCAATGTGTTGCACACAAAGACAAGCCATTTATGTCTGTTATTGTAAATTGATGCTGCTCACATCTTGGTTTCATACTTGTCCGCTTTTTAATTCACTTCTTATTTTCTCTGTGCTCTTATCTGAAACTACTGTTCAAAATTACTGTCTCTTATGAAAAATTTAAAACCCTAATTAGTCATACCGTGTCTCAGAAAGCCAGAAACCTAACTCTAAAAATTCCGTCATATTTCCCGTCTCAAAAAAAGAAAAATGAGCCACTCTGCATTTCAAATAACAAAACTGCCTGTAGTATTACTTCCCTTGTTTTATGAAAATAAAAAAAATGTACACATAAGAGAAGTAATTTGTATTCCAACGACAGTAAGACACTCCATACTGCAATTAAACACAAATTTGTGCTTAAAGTACATTTCAACAATGCAAAGGGCCCTGAAAATGGACTTTCTGTTTGGATTTAAAGCACCTAAAATGACACTACATTGTTTGTAGTAGTTAAACTCAATAATGCAATGATTTTATTAACATAATAGTTTACAAAAATAATTTGTAATCATTTACTCATCCTCATGGTGTTCCAAAATTGTGTTACTTACATATCAGTATTGTATAATGCAAAAAGATACATACATTTTATTTTTATACGGGTGTTTTTCATAGTGACCGCAGCTATCATTATTCAAAAGGACAAAAAATACAACAAAAGCTTCATAAAAGTATTCCATACAAGAAAAGGGTAAACATGGACAATTTTCATTTTGGGTGAACTACTCAGAAGATGAAGACAAACATCAAAATTGAGATTGTGTACTGCTGTTTTTTTATTGTTACAGATGAAAAAACTGCCAGTAAGAGCACTTCTGTTTCTCCAGGGAATTAAAGTGTGGCTTATACTGTAGGTATGAGAGCAGAAGGGGTCTTTCCCTCCTTCTCTTCTCACCTGTTCCTCTCTGCAGGCTGTTTTCCTACAACTGTGGCACTTGATGAACTGTGCCAGCTAATAGACCAGGGCGGATAATCAATATCTAAACTACAACATTCTCAAGAGCCGTTTCCTAGTACCAGTGAGGTGTGGGACCCCCCTGCCTCCAGACATATACTCCTGTGCTCTGTTTCCTAATAATTCTTTCACTGTTGTCTTTAAATGGAGGTAAAAATTTTTTTCCTTAGTTGCAATATCTTTCTCTTGTAATCAAATATTCAAGACTGGGGAGAAAAAATGTAAAACATTAAGAATCTTTCACTGTAAAAAAAAACAAAAAAACATATTGGTTGGCTTAAGGAAGCTCACTGTGTAGGCTATAGAAAATGCTAGGTTTTTAAACAGTGCTAAAGCGTACATAGCTGCAATGTACAGTGGGGAAAATATTTATTTGATCCCCTGCTGATTTTGTAAGTTTGCCCACTTACAAAGAAATGAAGGGTCTGTAATTTTTTATGGTAGGTTTATTTTAATGGATAGAGACAGAATACCAACCAAAAAATCCAGACAAAACACATTATATAAAGGTTAGAGATTG